TAAATAAAATATAGTGTGTATAATCTAAACATGTGGTTGGTTTAAAACTTGATAAATTGTTAACCTTGGATATTTTAGTAATGATAATAAAAGGGACTTACAAGGATGTAATATTATGCTTGGACAATATACTTGGACAAATAACCAAGTCCATAGCAGAATAGATAGAGCTTTGGTAAATGCAGAATGGATGGACTCTTATCCCCAACTGGAAGTTGTTACTATGGATCCATTTTTTTCTGATCACACACCTTTATGTGTTAAAATGCAAGATAGTTCTGGAAAAAGGAAAAGGCCATTTAAGTTCTTTAACTTCATTGCCGAGCATGAAGACTTTCTGGATGTGATAAAGGATGGGTGGATGAAACAAGTAAATGGTATGGGCATGGAAAACATATGGACAAAATTGAAGGTGATTAAGAAAGGGCTAAAGAAACTGAATACTATCCATTACCAAGGTATTGATTTCAAAGTTAAAGAGATTAGGAGTCAACTGCAAAGCATACATGAACAAATGAGAGATCATAGGCAATCAAATGACTTGTATGAACTGGATAGGGAGCTTAGGCCGGACCTGGAACAATGGGGGGCTTATAGAAGAAGGTATAGCTAAACAGAAATCCAGAAACCAGTGGCTAAGACCAAGGGGATTCAAATACCTCCTACTTTTATGCTTCAATGAAGACAAGAGTAGTATAGAATAGAATAAATAGTTTGGTAAAGGAAAATGGCCAACTAATTCAAAATGAAAAGGCAATCACTTAAGAAAATCTTGGTTTCTACAAGCAACTGCTAGGGATAAATGCTACAAGGATCCCTGTTATAAATCCAAAGGTGATAAAGGATGGAAAAATTTTAAACAGGGAGAAATAATTGCAGCTTATTGAAACTATAACTAGGCAGGAGATCTAGAAAGCTTTAGCAGACATTGACGATCAGAAGGCACCAGGGTGTGATGGCTATAATGCTTTGTTCTTTAAAAAATCATGGAGCATAATAAGAAGTGAGGTAACATAAGATGTTCTTCAGTTTTTTGATTCAACTAAACTGTATAAGGCCATCAACTGCACCTCAGTAACCTTGATCCCAAAGGTTAAGAATCCATTCACAATAAAACAGTTCAGGCTTATCTCTTGCTGCACAATGCTTTATAAAATCATCTCTAAAGTGCTGACTAGAAGATTACATAGAGTAATGGATATATTGGTAGATAATAGTCAATCTGCATTTGTACCTGGGAGAGTGATCACAGATAATATTATTCTAAGCCATGAGCTTGTAAAAGGATACAATAGGAAAGGAGTGTCTCCTAGGTGTATGATGAAGGTAGATATGCAAAAGGCTTATGATTCCCTAGAATGGCTTTTCTTGGAGCAAATTCTTTGTAGCCTGAACTTTCCTGATATTTTTGTTCAATGGGTAATATCTTGTTTTAGCAGTGTGTCATACTCTATCATAATCAATGGGAAGCCTAGTGTGCCATTTCCAGCTAGGAAGAGGCTACGACAAGGAGATCCCTTGTCTCCTTTTTTGTTTGTCTTGGCCATGGAGTACCTCAATAGGTTGCTGAAGACATTGAGGAGTAATCCAGACTTTAATTTCCATCCCAGATGTGATAAATCGCAGATTATACAGCTTGGGTTTGTTGATGACCTTCTCAGGTTCTATAGAGGGGATGTTATTTCAGCTCAACTTCTTTTCAACTGCTTCAACTGTTTCTCCGAGGCTTCAGGACTGAGAGCAAATCTTGATAAGAGCTTAGTGTATTTTGGGGTGTTGGAAGAGATACACAACTGCAAATTTTAAATATTCTTGGATTTACAAAAGAGGAGCTGCCTATTAGATACCTTGGTATCCCGTTGAGCACTAAACGATTATCTGTGATGCAATGTTACCCTTTGGTTAACAAGATGTTGGGTAGAATAACCTCATGGAATGCTAGACACTTATCCTATGCTGGGAGAGTTCAACTAATAAAGAATGTATTATTTTTCATACAAACCTTATGGTCCCAAATCTTTATTCTGCCGAAAAAAATTATTCACATGATTGAAGCAACTTGCAGAACATTCTTATGGACTGGGGGTGCTGCATTATAAAAAAAAAGCATTGCTAGCATGGGATAAAGTTTGTTTGCCAAAATCAGCAGGAGGCTACAATATTCTAAATGTTAAGATGTAGAATAGAGCAGTTATATGCAAGTTATTGTGGAACTTATGCCGGAAAAAAGATAAGTTGCGGGTTCAATGGGTCCACATTTATTATGCCAAGAAGAGAGAAATTTGGGAGATAGAACCTAAACAAGCCTCTTGGATGCTGTTGAAGATACTGAAAGCTAAACATTACCTCACAGATGCTGGTATTGATATTGATGAACTGAGGCGAATGCAAAACTTCTCTATAAAAAAAAATATACCAGCTGCTATGTGGTACCTTTGTAAAGGTTCCATGGAGGAAATTGACTTGTAACAACTATGTTTCTCCAAAGTGGATATTCATTCTAAACCTGGTTGCTTGGGGTAGATTGAATAAAAAGGACAAGCTGGCCAAATGGGGTATTATAATTGAACAGAAGTGTATCTTGTGTAAAGAGCAGCATGAGACCATTACACGTCTCTTTTTTAAGTGCAAATTTTCTACTGAATTATGGGAAAAGATGCTTCTATGGCAAGGGATGAGAAGACCTGTGATGACATGACAAAAAGAACTACATTGGGTTGTTACCAAGGTGAAAGGCAAGAGTGTCAATGCTGAGATCTATAGAATGGCCTTTGCAAGTTGTGTTTACTACATTTGGCAAGAGAGGAATCTAAGGATATTTCTGAGTAACCAAAGAAGTGTTGGGATGATTACAAGACAAGTGATTCAAGATATATTCTGTAGAGGGAGCATGAAGCATACGATGGCCACGAGGCTTGAAAGCTCAAACTTTTACCCATAGCGTAATTACACTGATAGGTTGTTACAGTAGATTGTAATAGGCAGATATTTTTGTAACTGCTTAGAAGTTCTGTAGTTGCTGAGAGTTTTGAGGCTTCATGCCTAACTCTAGAGCTTTTTTGTTGCTTAGATACCTGTACATAATTCCTTTGGTGAAATAAAAATTGTATTTACCAAAAAAAATATATTATCATTTTGATAATGTTATCCAGATATAGCTAATCCTGGTATTATTATCCCATGTACCATGTGTGACAAATAATATCAAGATTTTAGTAAAAAAAACTACACCCATATTAACTAATCCTGATAATCAATTACTAAATAAAAATAATACCAAATTTTATAGAGCGATTGGAATCCTGATCCTAATAACAAAACGGCTACTTAAGTCCAAACAATAGCTATATGTAGAAGCAGTCAAAAGAGAATAATCAGTCATAGTTTTAAGGATTTAGGTTACATGTAAAGATTCTTTCTAAGTTATCAGTGTATTTAACCTAATTTAATTTCTTGTTTTCTTAAATTACTAATTATACTACATATTGTAAAAAGTTTATATAAGTAACTTAATTGTATAAATATTTTGCTTACACCTTTGAACTTAAACTCTTCCGTTCCGAGATTAATCAAAGGGTATCTTTATTAATTAAATATGATCTTTCTAAATTGTTTAACTGTAGGTTACTTGAATTTTTTTTAAGCTAGCAATTAGTTAATATTACATGAACTTTAGCAGTCTCTTAGTTACTTTTCCAACATTTGCAAAAAATAATTGTTGAGCTCACTGCATAGCAACACCATCATCTATGAATTTTGGTGATAATGAGTTATTTTCATAAACTCAAGTTTGTTTTTCGTAGCAGATATTCCTTTTTGTCTTTTTAGATAATTACATAAATCATCATTGACAATCCGCATGAATCAATAGAAAATGCATATACCTTATAATACACTAATTAATCCAACTTTCTTTCAATGATAATTAAATTAAGATTTGAAGTTTATGTGAACTCGTCAAACATTTTTCGTGTAACATAATTATCTTACGTTTTGTTCTTTTAAACATCAAATTGTAAAAGATTTAAAGTTTACGTAACATTCGATAGTCCTAATTTTTAAATAGCAAAATTTCGGCTTCATTCAATAAGTATTACGAGGTCGAGCATGTAGTTTATAGGATAGGATAACTATGTATGCATATACACTTCATTTCTTTCCTTTACAAACACAAAACATTTGCATTAGTTGTTTTATATTTTATCTTTTATTGCTTGACTATCATTTAAAGCTAGTAGCATTTACTCTCTCAAAGTTTATTTATAACGATTTTTATTTCCATTTGAATAAATTTACTTGCCTCCATAAGTACTAGATTTTGATATGGAAATAAGAGTAGGAGATATTTAACACTAAAATCATAATCGTAAAAAGAATTCAAAATTGAAAACCTTCATAATTCCAAAACAAATCAGGAATTGTATGCCTTTAGCTCTCGTCACTCTTAATTATGAATATTCTATCTAACAAGCTAACTCAATCCTCATATTAAAGTCTCATTATCGGAGTGGGTCGGAGCCCAAATTATAAGTTTGTTTGGAGGTTTGTTACCTATTGTATTGTATCGTATTATTACTTAAATTTTATTATATCGTATATTATATTAAATTCATCGGTACATAATGACGAAAAATAATACTTTATATAATGACCGATTTGATATGATCGTTACCTTATTTTTTTTTCCTCTCATCTTGCCATTACTCATTATTAAATAATTATCTTTTATATTTTATCTATTTTTTTATATAATAATTTTACCAGTGTTCCTATTTTTTCTTTGTAATATTACAAATTTGATATTATTGACACGAAATATCATGAAACAACGACAAACAATACAATCTATCCAAATATCATATTCATCAATATAATATAATATAATATGATTTTAATACAATATAATATATTATAAAATCCAATCAAATTTGTAAAAGTCCCATTAACAAGGCAAACCATAACCCAAAAAATAATAATAAAAACAATAAAAGAATAAAGAAGAAAGAAACATTCTTCCACTGTAGTTCCCCACTACTCGCAACTTCCAAAGCGAATCTCTTGCCCAGTGAACCCCTCTCCAATGTTTCGCTCATTTTGTTCCCGATCTACTCCTTTGCCATCTCCTCCTTGAGCTCCAAAATCCCAAAAAGATCCACAAATGGAAGATTAAGATACCAATTTAGTCAAATTTTACCATTCGAACGTCGAAAAATGAATATACAACAAGTTGGGTGAAAAATGAGAAGAGGTAATAATAGAAAGTGCAGGCTTTGGTGGCCAACGCATCTATCTTCCTTAAATCAATTGAATTTGCATTCATATGCTTTCTTATTCGGTTGGTTCATCTCTTCCTCTGAAGCTTCTTTCGACATTGTTGTCGCTTTTGCTTGCGATGAGTCTGCCCTTCTTTCCATGACCACCACACATACGAATCTTGAGGTAAATTTCCCTAAATTACCCTTCTTAAATATTCAATTTTTACAATCTGGGTTTATATGAATGAGTATCTTAGTATTTTTTGGGTTTGTTGTGGAAAAGGTGAAAATGGTGAACTGGTTAATGTCTAAACGTGAAAAGGGTGAAATGGGTTAATCTCAAAATTTGGAAAAGGATGAAACATGGTGACCTGGGTTAATATTTAAATGTGGAAAGGTGAAGTGTGTAAAGCTTGAGCTTCATTCACTATCTTCTTTCAGTATTTAACACTGTTTTATGGAGATGGACTTGGTAATTTGTGATGGCTTTTTATGGTTATGAGTTGTGACAATTGCTAAAGTGAAAGGGATTGCTCTGTCAGTGACAATAGAAAAAATAGAATCTCTTCTCCATTCATATCTCTATTATTGGTTTATCCAATGTTGAGCCCTCATGCTATGTTGTCCTGCTCCAGATGTCCAGGCTTGGGTGTACCGGGAAGGGGACGGGTTGTTAAAGTATCTACATTGGTCTTATCAAAAAAATAAAAGTGTCCCACTGGCTGAGGCAACTTGTTGCTATCTCCTTGTATAGCCTTGGTCCATTATGAGTTTATGACCTCATGAGCTAACCTTTGAGGTTAAATTAGGCCCAAGTCCATTTTCTTTACATGGTATCATGAGTCTTATACCAACAAGTTGAGGCAAGTTGTTGCTATCTCCTCGTATAGCCTTGGTACATTATGAGTTTATGACCTCATGAGCTAACCTTTGAGGTTAAATTAGGCCCAAGTCAATTTTCTTTACATGGTATCAGAGTCTGACTCATCTGTATTCTTGGTTTATACAATGTTGGGTTTCTACATTATGTTATCTATGGTCCAGATGTCTAGCCCTAGGAGTCCAGGAAGGAGGGTGTTAGAGGATTCCGTATCGGTCGAGTGCATGGACTGTTGTTTCCTTATATAGTCTTGGACAATCTTCACCTCATGAGAGTTCCTTAGTTCAAGTCTCTCCACCACCCATTATCCGAAGGAACTTTTATGTGCTTAGCCATGAAAAAGAATTAGGTCTGCATGTCGGAAGCGTGTTGAAGATATAATTAAGTAAATAAAAGTGTACCCTCTCTAACAACTTAAGTTCTTAGATGAGATGGTCACACACTCTTAGATGAGATGATCACACATTCAACAGGTAGAAAAGCTATATTAGAAAAAAATTTCATATCAAATTTGAAATAATATGATATACATAGTATTATTTGATACTTGTTTGTATATAAATCAACAAACTGTATCTTGATTTTAAATCATTGAAATGGGAAATAAGTTTCCGATTTCACTAAGGAGATTATATATTTCCGGACAAACTAAAACAAAGAGGTCATAGGTCATTTATAGTGGGATGGAGATAGAGGCCGATCCATGATTTGAAATTTATGGGTTCTGGAGTTTAGGACAATAACCTCAAGTGCTAGTAACGGGGTCTGAATTTATTTTTTTGTACATATTTAGCGTATCTCTTAACACATATACATGTTTGGGCCAAAACTACTGGGTTCTGCCAAACTCATATATTAAAACCTACATTCACCCCTGGATGGAGAGAGTATTAAAGTAAGCAAATAAAAGAAGTGAGAAGAACTTGGTACAAAAAGAATTATCTATGGTAGTTGTAGTGTGGGGTGCGACTCTAAGTGGCTTTTGTTGACGGTGAAGATAAACCCTCTGTCAATTATAGTTCTGTTAGAATTATAGGATATTGTATTGATATCACTTATACTGTGTATCTATCCCATGCTACTGCACAGATTTGATTCATTTGTACAGATAACTATGTTCTATTTTTCATCACATGTGCTATATATTATGTGAAAGTTGATTTTATTCCTTTTACAAGTTTGTTGTGAGTACTTATCGGCTAATGCTTTTGTCTAAATTTTTTATATGATTTCTGTCTCGTTTGTTAGAGGGTTCTTCAAGGCATAAACAGAAAGATGCCTGTACTTCTACAAGGTAAAAGCAAGTTCTCTCTGCTTGGTTCTTATGCAGCAGATTGTAACAGCAAGGGGCAGTTGCTAATGGTCAGAGGCAAAGGGAAGAAGCATATCAACTCTACTGGCAAGAGGACATGCTTATGTGTGGACGAACTTGCACCTGAAGGGAAGTGGGGAAGACGGAGATGTGGATGTCACAAATTGGATGTGATACTAGAGCAGTGTAGGGCATTAGCTTTAGAGGATAACATTTGGGCACAGATTGTATGTGATGATTCTCAAGCTGTTGGCAGAAAAGTAGAGCTAATACCAAAAGTGCATCATATACATAGGAAGGGAGAAGCCATATTCCAATTAGATGTCCACGTATGTAAGTCATAATCACCCATACAACATCCTCAGATTTCCTTGACTTATCTGGTCGTTCCTTATTGTTCTATTTTTTTTTTCAAAATAAACTCAGGTAGTGTTTTATGGAATTCCTGTCTTTGGTGGCCACCATTACTCATTGGGCTTCAAGAGTTCATCTGAGGGGGTGACAAACCATTGCAAGAAGCCTGAATGGGTTAAGGATCTTAACAGGAAGCAACCATATCTTGACTTGGTACATCGATTATGAAGTTTAGTCTTACCTTCACTGTAAACTGATTCTAAACCGTATTTCTTTCAATTTTCCAATAAACAGGATGCTGTAATTCTATCTATCAACACTGCTAATGCTGCTAAAGTATTTACCGAAGCATATTGTTCTGCCAAAAGATCCAGGGTTTCCTTCCATTTCTTTTGCATGTAATATCTTTTAAACTTTGACATACCTCTATTTTCTGCTGCTCCATTTGTTTCTCCACTATTTCTAATAGCTATCAAATGGCTTGTCAGGTTTTCTATTTTGACATGGCAACTGCTTGCTGTATTGGTTGCATCATTGTCAACTATCTTCTACGTCATCCTTCAGTCTTTCCATGTCTGTTTGAGCCATGTGTCCCAATCATATATCTACGTCGCATTGGAGAAGGTATTCTGCAATACATGTAAAAATCTAGAAATCCGATGCTGCCAACTCCTGTATTGGCCAGTTTTTCTCAAAGATTATGGTCTCAGGTAAACTTTCCCTGATAACCTTGTTCTCTGAACTTATCCTGCCATGTGTCTTCTGTGTTTTCTGGATAGTGCGAATTGGATAAGGAGGATTCATATAGTGAACCCAAGTGATTTGGGATTGAGGCGCAATTTATTGAGACATGTGTATTCTGTGTTTTCCTGATCTGCTATCTTATTATATTATTCCTTCACTATGCTGACTTGTGTTTTAGGTCTCAATCTTGTGTGGAGTATGCTGAGAAAGCAGCATTTCACAAACATTCCATGTGGACAAGCCTTGTAGTTGATCTACTTCTGGGGAACTTTCTTGGCATCATATTGTGGTGTCGAGCAAGAGAAACTTGTGCATGGGTTTCGAGTTTTTCTGAAAATGCCACTAACTATCTTCTGCGTACTGGTTGTGTGTGGCTTATGGGAAACCCAGCGGGATTCAAGCTGAACACTGAGCTAGCTGGAGTTCTTGGGACAATATCCCTGATTGCTATTCAAATTTGGTCTACCATTTGGTGGTTATTGGGTTTATTCTTGATTCATCTCATAAAAGTAGTTGCTGTATTTGGTTCATTATTTGGGCTTACTGCAGCAGCTGCTCTTATCATTGACACAATTTCACTAGCAACAACACATGTTTCTACTCTTCAGTGGTTGCTTACACTGCTCTATTCATGGCAAATACAGGCTGTAGATGCTTTATGGCGTCTTTTCAGGTATATTACACTATAATGCTATATGCCCTCTAAAGTATCTTGTGCACTGGTATTGTTCAGTTGATCTAGGGATATCAAATTTTACCCTGTAGAGGCCTCCAAACTCTTTAGTCCTTTTCGTCCTTTTCTTTGTAACATACAACAGAAATTGACTCATTCTCAATAACATCGGAAATAGGAGGCAAGCATGGTTTGAAGCTTCACCACTCAACACTAGTGTTCCCTATCATCTTTCAGTCCAAGCACCTCTAGAAGCTAAAAAGATCTTTCATCATTTTTTAGTGAAGTAAAGTGGGCAAACCAATTAGCCCCTTTTTAACTTAGAAGCAATGGTCCTTTCTTTGATCTGAAATTTTTTATTCAACAATTATTGCAGTGACTGGGAAAAAAAGTAAGGGATATTAAACTATGGAGTAAGGACTATTTTCTGCCGGACAACCGATCAGATAAGTCCACCATTTGCTGAAGCAGGAAAGGAAGGAACAGGAAAAAGGGGGGGGGGGGGGTAGGAAGATCAGGATAGGGAAAATAAGGTTTGATCTATGCATTAGGGTCATTTTGTGAGGAGGAGAATGAGGAATGGGAGAGAATTTTTGCAAGGTTAATATTGTCTATCAACATAAAAGAGGAGTGTGGTTGTCAAAAGGGGAGTGTAATAGCTTCGCACCCTTCTTTTGTTAGTCATTTGGTCTGGTGGGTCTTTTAGTAGCTTAAAAGAAAGATCCTTAAACAAAACAAAAAAAACCTAACCTCGCTATCTATGTTCTGGTTAATAAACGTTCTTTAACTTCTGTGAACCAAAATGTTCATTTTGGACTACCTATTTATTCTATGCTTGGTTTTGCTTTACAAACTTTGGTCTTCATTCCTTCCCTGTTTCTACTTTGCTACATTCAGTCACCCTCTCGGCTGGATTGCATGGTTTTCTAGAGTAAATGGTGATGGTTGCTTCTGTTCAATTTCTTCCCGTGATTTCTTTCCCCAAACTTCTAGTTCACGAAACAACTGCTTTAAAGGAATATTGAGGTTTCCATCAAATAAATTGCCAGATTCAAGTATAGGTGAATAAATTGGTCATGGACAGCTACCATAATTTAGCTGGTTTTTTCCACTGGAGAGGATTTGACTGAATTATATTCACAAAATTACTACTATATCATTTGACCAGACCAGCATCAAGCATGTTACAGCTATGAGTACTGATAAAGAAAAGCATGTTGTTGCTAGGAAACTCACTGACTTTAAGATAGAAATAGGAAAGAACACTTTATATGGATCCCTTTTGTCTTTGTTTAGTTACCAGTATGCTTTGCTGTTGTGGTGGTTGCTTAAAATCAATAACAGTTTGCCTCCTATAATTACAGGGGTAGGAAGTGGAATCCTCTTCGTCAGAGACTAGACAGCTATGCATACAGTGTGGAGCAGCATGTAGTTGGGTCTCTCCTATTTACTCCACTTCTACTTCTGCTGCCGACGACTTCATTGTTCTATATTTTCTTCACCATTATGAAGACAACCATTAGCTTTGTCTGCATAGCCATTCAGTTTGGCATATCTATAATTCACGCCACACCGTACATTAAGATTTTCTTTTGGTTCATGAGGAGGAAACGGTTTCCTTGTGGATTATGGTTTGATATTGTTTTGTGTCGGAGAAATGCCACTAATTCATTAGAGGTCGAATCTGCTGATAAGACTGCATCTGAGAATTCTCGCCACAGAAGCTGCTCTAAATCGACAATTCTGGTTTCATTTCTTCACAGCAATTTTTTGAGCTTAAGTAAGTCCCCCAGCATTATTGCTTAATTCTTAAGATTTTGTGGCACCGTTGGGAAGCGATTCAGTAATTAAAGCTTCATGACTCCTTTTTGGTTCTTAAAGTCCCCTTGAGGTATCAACTAATAAGAAAGATATTAGACAACCCCCCTTTTTTCTTTTTCACAAATAGGAAGTTTCGAATCCAATTTGGATATTAAAAGGATTACCAGATATAACACAAAATCTCTCCACCTATTCCTTCTAGTCGAGCCTCTCGGTCTGTCATTATACCTCGAGAAGTAGAAAGAATTACAATCCCCATTCCACCTNAATTTCGAGTGAATGGATACTCCGAAATAGAATGAGAAAAATTGAATTTGATTAATTCAACTTATAAGACTTTGGAACAATTAGAAAATTACAAAAACAAAACGATTCAGTTTGAACAGCAAAGGGCGATTAATCAAGTTCGACAATGGGTTTTCCAACAAGCCTTACGAGGAGCTCTAGGAACTCTGAATAGTTGTTTGAACAACGAGTTACATTTACGTACCATTAGTGCCAATATTGGCATGTGAAGGATAATATTTTTCTTGCTTCTTGAGTTTTTTTTGTATTGGATAGGACTCACCTTTATGGCATTTTGTCCTTTTTACTGCAAATTCACCTTTCTAGAATTCAATGCCAGAACATCCTTATCTTCTTGTCGTAGCATGTCATTCATGTAGTGGTATCTGTGGTTGAGCAGGAGCTTTTTTAGCGGATCCTTTGAAGTGTAAGTTTGACAGGATGTTTATTCTTGCTAGACTTACTGCATTATTTATCTACTATATGAAAAGGATCTAGTTGAATTTCACATTACCCGCTCTCTTTCCAGATTATCCTAGAGATGGCTTTTCAATAAGCTATAATAGGATACTACTAGGAAGATTGAAAATTAATCTATTTCACTTGTTCGTTATGGACTTCCTTTTCATGATAACCTAAACTGTATGGACTATTGTAGTATTGTATGTAACCCTGTTTAAGATCTACTGAGGAGAATCAGAAGTTTTTGCTTTGATGGTGCTGTAATTTGTTATCTCAATTTGCTTGATCATTTTTTATCCTTATTGTATTGATCCTTTTTACTGAAGTACCTTAAAATGATCTTTTTTGTTGGAAACTAAATGGTGATTTTGCAATGCTGCATTTTTATGGTGTAATCCCTCCTAAACATGAGAAAAAACTTGCTCCTGGTAGTGTCAGCATCTCCCCTTTCCAAATAATAAAACCTTTCTACTACCACTGTAGTGACACTACTGATGAAACAGAATAATATACCTGACAAGCTTTCACATGATGGTTGTCGTTTTACCAAAACATGTTGAGCGTTTTGCCTCGCTTAGCGGACACTTCAGTGTCGTCATCAAGGCTTTAAGGCATACTTTTCCTAGGCAATGAGCATAATCCTGAAGAGACGACATGAAACAATTGATATTTCACTTTATCGTAATTGTTTTTCAATTTCTTTTCCACATGTTATTCATGCTTATAATTATTCGTCTTGGACTACACATACATATTTGTATTTTTTTCTCCCTTGCGCCTTTTTTCATTAAAGCCCACGCTTTATTTGCGCTTTGGGCTTAAAGCCCCAGTGGACCTTAGAGCTTTTTCGCGCTTTTCGCCTTTGATAACATTGGTTATCAGCATATCATGCTTTACCTTCCTTGCTCGTGGTTCTAAAACATGTTTGTATGTTATTTGTTCTTTTGAAGTGCGTTTATTGTGTTTGCTAACTCTGTAAAACATGATACAGGACAAGTAGTTTGGCCCCACTATCGAAATGTTTTTTCAGATGTATCTAGATCTTCTATTGCGTTCTCAGCTTATGGAGTTCTTACCGGGAAAAGGTATTTCAACTTGCCTTTAGTAGATCTTTGTTTACACCTTTTAAGGAATTCTTAGGATGTGTTTGGTATGGCAAAAGTCGTTTTTTCATAGAAATGTTTTCCACGAAGAATTCATTTTCTAGTGTTTAGCTACCAGAAAACCTTTTCCATCAAAAGGGGAAAATGACTTTCCTCACTTATGCGCGGAAGGCATTTGCTTTACGACTATCTCAATTTTTTACTTCATATTACATGCTCCAACTAACCGTTAGAAATTATTATTTATCTTTATGACTCTAAAAACGTAAACAACCTCTCTACCTCGCCAGGTAGGGGTAAGGTCTGCGTACACACTACCCTCCTCAGACCCCACTTGTGGGATTATACTGGGTATGTTGTTGTTTATGACTCTAAAAACAGTCCTTTAATCACTCTAATTTGCTAATATTATTATTAATGTTTAATGTATATGTTTTCAAGAAAATTATTTTTCACTCACTAATCAAACACCGGACCCTGGGGTGCGGCTCTTCATAGGACCCTGTGTGAATGCGAGAGGCTTTGTACACCGGGCTGCCCTTTTTTTTCAACCAATCAAACGCTCTTACTCTTGCTGGCTTTTTCACTTCTCTAGTTTACTTTCCCATTATATTGCAGAACTCCATCAGCTCCAAAGATTGGTCTTCCCCCGATGTTGCCATGGGTGTCTATTCCATACAAAGAATACTGGCGCCTTTGCCATGAAGCAGTCCTCGCTTGCAGGCAAGATTGCAACTGCCAATTGCACCAATAGTTGTCAAAAGAGAGAGGACGACAAAAGGAAAACTAAGAAAAAAAATCATTAGCTTGCAGTTTCCACACTGCTATTTCCATACGCGAATTCTTTTCATTATTCTCAGTGTTAGGAATTGTTTCATAAATTTTTGTATACGGGAGAGGTAGGGTGGAAAAGTAAGCTATTTGTGTATAGTTAGAAACATTTTTGGCCATCTATTATCCATGGTGCAGCAATTTTGTTTGGTTACAGGACTGAATATTGATGAATGGTGTAATGTTTTTTTCTTACTCAAGTTCATCCTTATATTTGGTATTGCAATGGAATCTTTTGGAAGTGTTAACAAGGTTGTGCTAACTAGGAGGACATAGACACATAGTTACCTGGTACCTGCTACTACTCAGCGTTGGTGAACATAGTTACCAGGTGTGCGCAAGCGCGGACATCATATAAAAAACACAAGGTTTATCTTTTTCTTTGGAAAATCTTTTGGAAGTTTACTATATTTGAAGTTGTAGATATATCCATATAGTATTCTCTTTGTCCCAAATGAAAGAAGATGGCGTGGTTCCGAGTACAAAAGTTAACATATATAATTTTGACTTCTTATCTTCTTCCATCTCCAACAAGAAAAAAAGTCATTGAACAAACTAGAATCAAGTATTAAAACAACAACAAACCTAGTGTAATATTTACAAGTGGGGTTAGAGAAGGGTAGATTGCACTTAGATCTTACTCCTACCTTGTGATGATAGATAAGTTGTTTTTGATAGACCATCGGCTCAAGAAAAGATAAAAAAGAAGCAATAGCAATAGCACCAACGACAATAAACCCAGACTGATTCCAAAAGTGGGGTTGGAGAGAATAGTGTATACGCAAACCTTACCCGTACCTTGAGGATAGAGGAGTTGTTTACGATAGAACCCTGACTCAAGGAAAGATGAAAAGAAAATGGTAGTAGCAATCAGTTAATGATATTCCAAACGAGATGACTTTTAGACAAATTCGTAACAAAGTAAATAGTCGAGGTGTACACGATAGTGGCTCTTGTTATAAGAATGAGATAATAATGAAAAAAAAGGATACATGGAATTAATAAAGTGATATTTGTCCATAAAAGACTCCAGTAAAATCAAATCAAAACATTTTAATGAGATGAAATGAAAACTAGCTTTAACAGCCACTGAGACAGAAGTTAGTTTATTTATTGTGTTTTCTCTTTAAGGTGCACAGAATTTATATTATCAGGTCTTTAAATAAAGTATTATAATTAATGCCTAGAGAAAGTAGCATTATAATCTTTAATTAATCATTGCATGCCTAAAGAAAATCAATAAATGTGGATTTGGACCGTTTACCCACCAACTCGACACGTGATCAAATGCTAATTATAAGGATCCAGTTGTTAACTGAGACCCACATTGGCACTATTTTTGAAACACATCATCATAACTACTCAAACAATTATAAACCGTAGGATGAAACGATCTTCTTTTTAATCCGTCAGATCATTTACATCTGGCCCACGATTACAACCCCCGCAACATGCGTAGTGGGGCCCAATGATTTTCTTTCTCTACTTGATGATGGACACGTGTACATGACTTTATCACTTTACCGGCTACTTTGTCTCCCCTATGACTCCACCGCTAGATATCTTAAAAACAGGGTCAAGTTATTTTTCTTTAGTTTTTCAAAATAGACTAATTCGAATTCATGCTGAAAAATATGAATAAAACGTTTTTTATTGCAAATATTCCATAATTTAAATTCAAGTCTTTTGATTAAGAATAAAAAAATATTTAATACTTCATCACAACTTTTTAACTGTTTTATTGCTTTTCAGGCTAGACTAGTTAGATTAAACGTGCTTTTACTCCTTTTATATTTCGTTTAGTTTATATGACAATATTAATAATACTTGTTTGAATAATATTTGAGCACATCACAAAAGTATTTGAAATTAAAATTGCGAATAAAAATTAACAAAAGTTAAAGTTTTGGACATGAATTTTATGTGACAATGTGAAAGTGTGAAGGTTTTACGAGTACAATATTAATATTTTATCTTATTTTTAATTATCTGATTAATCCAGATTCATCACTTTGTAGGGTCCATTTTAAGGAGGAAACAGTTTTTATCAAAATTAATTTTATTTTCAACTCTCGAATCTGAAATCTGTAATTAAGACTACGGAAATATTCCATCCATTTTACCATATTTCTTGACGGCGGTGTTTTATTTGAAATAAATATACATTAAAACAATATCTCAATATTTTACTTGAAATTTAAATAAGCAAACGCATGGCCAATACTCTACCTAATCCAAATCAATGACAGAGATCTAAACAATACCTCTTCTGTGAAAAATTAATGAATAAGGAAAAAAAAAAGTGATGGTTTTTATAGTACTATTTTTTTAATAGCTCGGGAAATGGACAGTGAACTTTCCTTTGGTTCTTCCTGGAAACTAGCCAAACATAATTTTTTACTGTGATTTCCTAAATATCTTTTACTATAATAATCAGACTTTGTAGTCCATTTTTTAGCTATGATTTCCTTAAGTCATGTTTTCAGGATAGTTTTTTTTGTTTTGTTTTGTTTTGCACTTATAATACATTATTTATACACTGTATTTTGCGTAATGATATATCAGTAGTCACTGATAAGGATAATCTTTAAATTAAATAAAGCATCATTTGGCTTGAAATATGATACACAAGCCTTACCTAGTATATTTAATTATTTATTACTCCCTCCGATCCATAATAAATGACCATTTTATATTTGCACACCCATTAAGTAAATACGAACTGCTACACAAAAACATATGTATTTATTAAATTAATCTTAATTAATTGTTACATTGACACATTGAAATATGTAAATAAGGGTAAATTTTGTAAAAATAAAATTAATTCTTTCTTGATTATGTAAATGGATACTTATTTTGAACCAAACTAAAAAAATAGATTGGTCACTTATCGTGGACCGGAGGAAGTACTGTTTCTTCACAGACAAGAACTATCACCTACCTATCTTGTTTGTCTTCATCCCTTAATATCAAATAATGTAATTATTAAATGAAGATACATCCTCTATCAATGATGCTTTGAATAAAAGAATACACATGTGTGATGATCAACTCATCTTTAATCAGAAGTCTTGAATTTAAATTAATCACGGAAATAAAGAATTTCTCAGTAAGGAGTGTCCCTTAGTAGGTCACTTGACGAAAATTCATATTATTATTCGAGTTACTGAATTTCGGATATCGAATATTAAATAAAAAAAGTTAACTCAAATAACACTATCGGTTTTTTTTCTCCGGAACTTTCTATAGTTTAGATGTGTGATTCCCAATTTTGTAATTTTGTGTTTGTAGTAATTCTTTTGCATGATTAATAATGTTAAAATCACAAGAAGCCTAATGCCCATTCTTTTTAGAACGTATTGTGTTTTTCATTTCATCTAAGCAAAACTATATAAAGAACATATAATAAAGTAAAATACTCCTTAAAGTAAAAAGAAAAGAATTAATAGTGAAGCATGTAAAACTAAATCTAGATTCTTTCTATGTCTACTCAAAAATAATTGCCTAATATTTACAGGTTTAAGTAGTCAAGCAGTACTATCCTATTTCGAATTTTTTTTCACTCATCTAAAAAAATTATTGACATACTGATATCCTCTTACATAGCAAAAAATTATTTTTCCCAATTGAATATTTGACAAATAGATTGCAAGACTTTTAGTGCATTCAACAACGTGAAGACCATTACACACGCACTATCAATCAACAAATGTTGTTATTGTAATATTGTCATTACTAGAAGAAAGAAGGATACGCTTTTTTAGTTAACCTTTTTTTTTTTAAAAAAAATGATAAAGATAATATGGACGACTCAATATAACAATACTAAAATTCTTTTTTTTTTTAGTTTGAAATTGAGATTACTTAAATTCTTTTTATCTACTCAAATTTTGATGGACAGAAATATACTATATATGTACTAGCGAGAAATATTCAGTGAAATAATTGAAATGAACGCAAATTAAACTCAACTATTAGTGCGCGGCCGGAAACCGATTATTTTGGGTTTTGGCAACTCGGATGGTGGCCGTTTTTTTCGTCTTTTTAACCGATGTCTATCAGAAACAACTTCTCTATTACTTCGGAGTAGGGTAAGGTTTGCATATACACTATCCTTCTCAGATTTCTCTTGTGTGATTTTACTGGGTAATGTTGTTGGTGGTGGGTGGCCGTTTGGTGATAAATAGAAGCTAGAATTTTTAAATTAGTTAATTAATTAGGAGTTTATATAATTTTATAATTTTATTTATTCTTGAAGGAGGTCAATCAGTAGGTTGCCTCGGTCTTCACCGAACCTAAGCTTCGTTTCCGAACCTTATAGGCTCGGCATTTCTGCCTATAAATAAGAGAACCTTCTTCCATTGGAGATAAGACTTCATACTTGTACGGGTCGTTCCTGTAGTTGAAAGATATTTTCTCTCACTTCGAAGGTACTGTAAACATCGCCATTTGTAGCTTCTGATTAAATTTCTGATTTTTATTATAGATTTCGTCCTTTAGTTCTCCGATCTTTTCAAATATTTGAAGTTAGGATATTTTGAAGAGTTTTTTGCTTAAAATTATTGATTCTTTGCCTGCGACGACCATGTTTTTAGCGATCATAAAGTGTATTTGATGAGTATGAAGTTTGACTTTGTACTGGAGTTGTTTTGAAACTTGAAATTTTTGATATACTTTTTGCTGAAAACGATTGGGTTTTGTTGCGATGAGTTGTTTTGTAATGATTGATGAACATATTTTTCTAGCGATTGCGAAGTAAGCGATCTGTAAAATTATTTTGAAATAAGAAAATATTTATGTATATTTTGCTGAAAATGAATGATTTCGTTGCGATGAGTTGTTTCGTGTTGATTGGTGAACCTCTTTCTAGCGATCGCGAAGTTCGACTTGGATGTGAGAAGTTCTTACTGAAAAATGATTGATCTTATTTTAAATTTTATTTTTTTTGCTGAAAATGATTGATTTTTGGTTGTGATGAATTTCGGACATTTTTTTATTTAATGAGTTGTTTTGTGTAGATAGATGAACATTTTTTTCTAGAGATTGCGAAGTATGTTTGATGAGTATGAAGTTTGACTTGGAAGCGATGCATAGAATTATTTTGAAATTTGAACTTTTTAAATAATTGAGTTTTGGTTGCGATGAGTTGTTTGTGTAGATTGATGAGTGTTTTTCTGCAATCATGAAGTATATTTGATGAGTTTGAAGTTTGACTTGGAAGCGCTTTGTGGAATTATTTTGATGTATTTTTTTGCTGAAAATGGTTGAACTTCGGGTGCGATGAGTTGTTTGTGTTTATTTAAGAACATTTTTGTCGTTAAATATTAATGAGTTTGAAGTTTGACTCGGAAGCCGTTAGTGGATTTTTATTGAATTTTGAATTTATTTGATGTATTTTTTTGCTGAAAATGAATGAATTTTGGGTGCAATGAGTTGTTTGTGTTGATTTATGATTTTTTTTCGTGAAGTATATATGTTGAGTATGAAGTTTGACTTGGAAGTGGGAAGTCTCACTGAAAATTGAATTGAGTCTTCTCTTCATGTTGCTTTTATTTTTTTAAAAAGGCTTTAAGGTAGGAAACTATGATTATAGATTGTAGTTCGGATTACTCTCCATTGATTGGTTGACCTTGACTTGGCCAGTGGTTAAGTCTGGTGATTTGTTGTGGTTTATTTTATTTTATTTCCCTTTTTGGGGTGTTTTTATGTATCTATGCTGCTATATATATTGTTTAATTACATTTCAAATTAGTTTCTGTAGAATATGTTGTAAGTTGATTTATCTAAAACTATGTTGTTCGGGCTCATCCTCCAAAGTAGTGCATTTCTGGAGGATTCGACACGGATGCGGCTACATATTTGGAGAGCCGAAGCAACATAGGCTAAAATGTTTTCAGTTGATACCAAATTTGAAACTAAGTTATAATTGTCATTAAGAATAGAGAATGCGAGTATTTATCTGGTTCTGTGAAATGCTTCTTTAATTAGTTTTGCTAAAGTACTTAGTTTTCAATATTCTAGTTATTGGTAATTGAATCAGATGCAGCACATCTTTGCAATCCTTGTACAATTGAATGTTTGAGTTGAAACTTGCTTGATTATGTGCTCATAGTTGGTGGTATGCACTAATTTATTGGGTTTATTCTTTGTTCAGACATCTTCAGGTAACAATTTGGTGAAAGGAGAATGGCATTAGTTTCAGGAGGAAGGTCGACACTGAATCCGAATGCACCCCTCTTCGTCCCATCTTATGTGCGCCAAGTGGAGGACTTTTCACCCGAATGGTGGAATTTGGTGACAACTTCGACATTGTTCCATGACTATTGGATGAGCCAGCATCAAGAAGAGGAATATGGCGATGAAACTTTTGGTTTCACTGGAAATGATGTTGCTGACTTGCTTCCCGAAAATATTGATCTTGATGTTGATGAAGATATTTTGAACATGGAAGCTCAGTTTGAAGAATTCCTCCAATCATCTGAAAGTGAACAACAAGGAATCAAGTCATCACTCTATGGTGTCAATGGTATGCTTCAATTATGTTATACAACATCTCTATTATCTTACAATATTGTATGTCTTAATTGTGGTGGAACCAGAAATTTATGAGGAGATTCAAAAGTATACTAATAGAATGTCACTTCAACCTGTGACTTTATTCAATTTTTGAACCTGCTTTATCACTACACCATAATGTTCAACAATTTATATCTGACCACAGAAAGTCATTTATCCCCTATTTGCGCGATATAATCTTTCCATGCGATTCAATTGAACCCCCTTACTATCTCCGCCCTCATGTAATGATACTCGTATCGTTGGTTCTCACTAGTATTCTTGTATGATGATACCTAAATCATATTTTCCCTCTTAACAGGTTTACCCAAGGGTTCTGAGGCACTCGTACGAACACTGAGCTTTCCAAAGGGGCCAAAATCTCCTATTGAGCCACCAAAGTACTATGAGAAGCCAGCAAAGATTGTTAGCCCAAAGAACAGCCTTCGCCGCATCCAGCAGCCTCGCTAAATTTAGTTTAGCTTAAGCAAAAGCTCTTGGATTGTAGTTTGGGCATGTCAGTTCTTAATTTGCAGCTTTTAGTCTTCTTCGCAAAGCAGCAGTTGAGAGAGTCTCAAGTCTTTAGTTTCTGGTACCTTTTGTATAGAGCAAGGTAGGTGGCACCTTTTGTATCTAGCCTTGTTCATAGTTTTAGTATCCTTTGTTCAGTTTTTAACTTGTAAACAGCAAAACTGTTAAAAAGGGAAAAAATGTAAAAATCAGTTGACAAAATTGCAAAAAGAGCGTCTTTGTGTTGTATTTCCTGAGGTGATGATCCACAAAATTGCAAAAAGAGCTTCTTCTTCTGCATTTCCTCTCATTTTTAGCCTTTGGGGCACAACGAGATCTGAACATATGAAAATACAAATGCTGGCCATAGAGAGTAAAAAATTTAAAATATCTATATTTTAGGTTGTTTTGATTTCAAATCATGAAACAATATTAGGTCTCTGTCAAGTTTGGTATTTGTGCAATACTGTCTTGGCCATGTGTCAATGTCAGTTTGGTCAATGTGTCAACAGATTAATTGATTGTTGAGCTAACTATACCAAATATGTGAAAGCAAATAAATAAAATTAAGTTTTTTTTTCTTTTCAAATTGATTCACATTATCCTAATGTCTATGTATTACTTAATTCTTGTTTGACAACACAAAAGTAACACGAAAACAGAGAAGAATTTTTTTGAATGTATCTTACTTTATTATAAATATGGAATGTGGTTAAATTTTTACTGTGTGAATATTTTTCCAAGATTATAGACATGATTGTTTCTTTGAAAAAGTCTAAAAGATCACCTTAGGGGAAAGCTACATTAGGTAAAGATATCCCATCATTGATTGAGCACTAGCTAGGAAGAATCCAAAAGCCACCTGTGTGTTTGGGCCAAGTGGGAAATTCAGGTTTTGGTCTGAATTAATTGTATTAAAGCAAGATATGAAAGTGATACCACATTTGTCTCTATTTCCATTGACAATAAACATTAGTACGTCGAGCCAACTTGGCAAATGGGCGGGTATGGTTGGAGATGGGACGGGTCGAAAACGGGTATCGAAAATGAGTAATAAATAAACGAATAAATTATTTGATCCGATCGATCCGACTCATATTTAATACGGATAAAAAATAAATTAACCGGCGGATAATGTGTAACCATATTATTATCCATGGCTTCATGAATATGAACATTTTTGGAAGAATTTTTAGTCTATCAAACTTGAGGACCCCCAATTTGAGGTCTTATAAATATAAAAATTAAACTCATTTGTTATCCATTGGTTATCCATTTTCTAAATGGATAATATGGTTCTTATCCACATTTGACCTATTTTTAAAAAATTTATTATCCAACCCATTTTTAGTGAATAATATAGGTGACTAACTATTTTTTTCTTTTAATCATTTTGCCACCCCTAGTCCTAGAAGTGGACAAAGTTATGATTTAATTTGCGTTAGTTTGCTATATCTACAATAATAAATGAGAGAGATGAAAGAAAATGTGTCTTTCACTATAATTTTTAAAAAAATTGAAGAATTAACATCAATAATCGCCCATCCATAGTTTAACTAAAAGTAGTGGTTGGATCATGAATGTATAATATATGTTTAAATAAAATAAAATAAATATATAATTATATATAATTAATGTATAATCTACATATACCCAAAAATTAAATAGTATGTAAAGGTAACTTTAAAAGTTGGAAGCCATGTTGGTACTTTACCTCTCTATATAGCTTTATTTGTCCAAAAATTTAAAAATTCCAATGCTGGGATGTGGTAAAAGTAGATTTGATTACTACTTTTCAAAACTTCCACTCACATCAATTGTTTGAGAAGAGTTTTAATGTTACTTATGTAGCATTAATTCCAAAGAAGGCCAGGGCGATGGAACTAAAAGAATATAGACCTATAAGTCTCATAACTAGTGTGTATAAGATCATTTCAAATGTGTTGACAGAGAGATTGAAGACAGTCATTCACAAACTGGTTGACACTCAACAAATGGCTTTTATCAAAGGTAGGCAAATCATGGATGCAACCCTAATAGCAAACGAATGTATTGATTCCAGGGTTAAAAGTAAGATCCATGGGATCCTTGGTAAACTGGATATTGAGAAGGCATATGACCATATAAACTAAAACTATTTGCTGAAAACTCTAAAGAATATGGGCTTTGGAAGCAAGTAGATCAAATGGATAGGTTTTTTGCATCAACACTGTTAAGTTTTTTATTCTAGTTAATGGTTCTCCAGATGGTTTCTTTTCTTCACAGAGAGGGCTAAGGCAAGGAGACCATCTGTCTCCTTTCCTTTTTATAATTGTAATGGAAGGTCTGAATAGTATGATTAAGAAGGCAAATCGGGAGAGGTGGATAAGGGATTTCAAGGCAGTGAATAATGTTAGTAGCAATCTGGAGATTACTCATATGCTTTATGCGGATGATTCTTTGGTGTTCTGTGATGCTAAAGAAGAGCAAGTTAGACATCTGAGGTTGATCTTATCTGTCTTTGAAGTTGTCTCAGGGTTACATGTTAACTGGAGTAAGTCACAGGTGTACACAGTTAATGAGGTCACCAACATTCAAAGATTGGCAGGGGTGCTAGGCTGTCAAGTGAGAAATCTCTGGATGCCCTTGGGAGCAAAAATTAGATCCCAAGAATTATGGAATGAGGTGCTGGAGAGGTGTGAAAAGGAACTTGCTACATGGAAAGGAAATTATCTTTCTCTGGGAGGGAAGATTACTTTAGTCAATAATGTGATAGATGCTCTTCCTACTTGCATGATGTCTCTTTTCCCAATTCCTGTAAAAGTTGAGAAAAAAGTGGATGCTTTAAGGAGGAAATTCATATGGCAAGGGAAAAAAGGAGAAGAATGCCTACAATTTGATAAAATGGAGCACTTTGCTTAAATGCAAGAGGGATGGAGGTTTGGGAATCTGAAATTTGAGACAACATAACAAGAGTTTACATATGAAGTGGTTATGGAGATTTTCTCTGGAGGATCAAGCTTTATAGAAGAAGGTTATATGTGAAAAATATGGGGCAGATGGAAGGTGGTGTACAACATGAGCTTCTGGACCCTATGGTATAAGTGTATGGAAGTCAATTAAAAATTTATGGCCAGGATTTATCAGCAATGTTAGAATCAAAGTAGGGAATGACAATAAAACTTCTTTCTGGAATGATGATTTAATTGGTAATGGACCTCTTAAAGAGGCTTTTTCTAGATTTGTTCACTATAGTACAGCAACCGCAAGCTACTGTGGCTGAGGTATGTAGTATGCAGGGGTGGAACGTTACGTTCAGAAGGTTCCTCAATAACTGGGAGGTTACGAGAGTGATTGAATTCTACAAATTGTTGGATGGCTTTAAGGGCATCATAGAAGAAGAGGACAGACTTATTTGGGAAAGAAACAACGGAGGAGTATATACTGTAAAGTTAGCATATGGAATCTTGAATAGCTTTGGTCACATGAACAATGGGACATGGTACTGGAAGCACATCTGGAAGGTGAAAATCCCTTTTAAAGTGGCTTGTTTTTGTTGGCTTGTAGTCAAAGAGGTTGTTCTAACTCATGACTGTTTAATGAGGAGATGAATTCTTATGTGTTCCAAATGTTTCTTGTGTGGAAAAGAGATTGAAACAAACAACCACCTCTTTTTATATTGCAAAGTAACTAGTAGGTTGTGGTATCTTTTTATGAGTATGAAAGGTGTGAAATGGGCAATACCTAGGACAACTGCATAAATGTTAGCTTGCTGGAATGACCCAGGTATTATACTAAGGCAGAAGCATTGGTGGAGGTTGATCCCAGCGTGTATTTGGTGGACAATTTGGTTGGAGAGAAATTCAAGGTGCTTTGAAGATAGAGCTAACACTGAACAGAAGATCAAGACGAATTGTATATTTTTGTTTCACTTTTGGTGTAAAGAAACTCTCTAGTAGAGGATGTAGAGTCTATAGTGGATATGATTGGGTCTTTGTAACTACCACAAGTATGGGTCTGCGTTTTTGCTATTTTTCGAGGGTCTTGTTACTATCTTTAACTTTTAGCATAATCTTTATGCTAAAGGTTTTTCTACTTAATTTATAAAACTTGTTACCTTCTCAAAAAAAAAAATCTTATGTTTTTTTAATTATTTGGGGTCCTGTTAATCACTACTATGTCTTATTCAAATAAGCATCAATTACGATTTTTACATATCTATTAAAAATATTGTTAATTATTAGAAGATACTTGTAAATAAACAAAGACATATTTTATTTTTAAAAATTGTACGGATTATTTATTGGAAAATCTTATAGCTTTGAAGGAAAAAAAACCCTAATGTTTTCATCTTGATTTTTCTAAAATACCACGTATTTTAAATTAAATTTATTTGATTATAACCACATTTAAAATGAATGGGAGGAAGCGTCACATAAAATGCTACGAAGGAAATATCTTGCATTAGTACAATTCTCAACTTACCTGTATGTTTAACTTGTCAAATTCTCAAATCACCCATAGTCTAACTTGATATTTAATTTACCCATTGTTTAATTGATTTTTCTTTGATTCTTAGCCAAAAATTTCGATCTCAATCCCTAAAAATGAAATCTCCTTTCAATAGATAACTCCGAAGATAGATATCGGACACCAAATGAAAAATCAAAAAACAAATTTAGTGAAATAATATTCTTTTTATGCTATTCTCCCAAACCTCCGTTAGTGTAACTTTAGCTCGGCAGTTGTTGTTGTTTGAGTACCAGAAATGTCAAATAAAGGCAAAAGTGTCAATACAAAAAGCATTTATTGTGATTTATAAATAGCATATTGCGATTTAGAAATCGTATTTTCTATTACTATTGTGATTTATAAATCGCATTATTTATTGCGATTTACGCCTAACACATGTCGTGTAGAACTTATCTATATAGGCAATTTTCTTGCTTCTTTTCTGACTTAACCATACATGGCATTACCCAGCACCAGTAAGTACTTTGAAATCTTCTCTTCGTTTTCAACAGTTACTTCTTCCTTATTTTATGCAAAATCTGATACTCATTCATATAAACTATTTTTGTGGGTCTTTAAAAAATCTTTAATGTTCAAACAAATTAGATTAGTGAAGTGGGTTTCAATTGATTCTTGGTATATGACCATGTAAAGCTATTCCTTTTGTGATTGAATTAGAATTTGTTGTATTGATATTTCAACACTGAAATATCTGTGTTTATTTAGAGCATGTTTGGAAAGCCATATGAGGATTGAAATTAGGTGTAATTTAGACTTAGAGCATATTTGTTTGACCAAATAATTACTTGGTTGGTGAGGTATTGGGTGGAATTGGGATGGAGTAATTACAGTCTCAAATTAAAGAATTAGTTGTAATTAATGTAATTACTAGGGAATCTTTCCGCGTCCTTTTTTTCTTTCAATATTTATATTATTCATCTGGGAAACAAAAAAAGATAAAAGGCAGAGCATTTCAACTTCACTTCGTATCAACGATGTTTCTGCACTTTCACAGCAGGTAAGTTCCTTTTTTTTTACCTTTTTTATTTCATATTTTCTTGATATCTCCATATTGAACTTTTTTATTTCCTTAACTTCACGTTGCTTTGAGGCTTTGAGCTATGATTTTGTGCACTAGAATTTTTGACCTTTCAATTTTAGAAGGGTGAAATTTGGGTAGAAGAATAATTTAAAAAAAAAGAAAAAAAAAGAGTGATAACATTCACATGAGTTGGTAAAGAGTTTTAATTTGTTATTGAAAGTTATATTGCTCTCTTTTAAGTTATAATATTATTTATATGGAAGATACCAATTATTTTTATGATATTATGCAGTACTTTAATTATATAATATATTTTCTTATAAAAGAATATGCATTTTTAATATATGATACTCCCTCTGGTCCACGATAAGTGATTTTTTTGTATGTTTTCACACAGATTAAGAAATCCACTTTTTAACATTAATTAGCAATGAAATTGACCATATTAACCTTTACTATATCTTCACATAAACACCCCTAACACATACTCCAACATTATTTACTCCAAGGGCAATGTAGGGAAAAAATAATTAATTCATTCTTGAAATCTGAAAAAATAACTTATTTTAGACCACAAAAAAAGGCCAAAAAATCACTTATTGTGGACCGGAGGGAGTAATATATAATATTTAATACTCCCTCCATTTCAAATTAGATGAACTATTTTCCTTTTAGTCTCCAAAATCAATGACACATTTCTAAATTTAGAAATAATTCAATTTTAAACTCTTCATTTTACCCATTTTACCCTTAATGAGAAACTTTTATAACTAAACAAATGCCATGGCCCCACAAAGATTTTACCCCTTTAGCTTTTAAAACCACAAATTTCAAAAGTCTCTTCTTTTTTCTTAAACTCCGTGCCGAGTCAAACTACCTCATCTAAATTGAAATGGAAGGAGTATCTATTATACATAGAAATATTTATCACACAGTGAAATTATTTATATGTTAATTTAAAAAAATATTTATTTATCTATGTAATTACACTTGTACAACCAAACATGACACATGTAATTACACTATAATTACATCATGACAAACAAACAGGCCATTGTAATTACAATATTATGTAATTACCAGGCTGTATAATTACTACCCTAGTAATTACACAGGGCTTTCCAAACAGACTCTTAGTTAAAAAATGCTTCTTTGGTCCAAATTTAAAAGGGCTAAAAAAATTTGAGAAATTTAGATGCTGAACTGTCCCTCCCATTTACCCTCATTGAGCTGTCAATGAGGATTCATAGCCGACCCCAACTTGTTTGGGACTAAGGTTTAGTTGTTATTGTATAACCGAGAAATTCTCGAGGGCTAGTGACGCACGATGTGAAACTCGATGGACAATGGACTCGCTCCTCTACTTTTTTTTACTTAAATACGAGGCTTTTGTTTGCACATTCAAACCTGTTGCGCGCGCCTAACCCACCCCTTTTTTTCTGTTTCTGTTTGCTTAGAACTTGTCTGGATGTAAAGAATTGAGGGTAATGTTCCAAAGTTTTTATAATAATGGAAGGCATTCTGAGTCCTTTGTTAGAAATGCTATATGGAATTACTTCCTTTGTCCCAATTTACATGACTTGCTACTATTTGGAATGAAATTCTCTTTGACTGTATGTTATACAAAATTTTTATTTTATTGTGTAATCTTTATTTCTGAAAAGATAAAGGAATCAGTTTACAACCTGAAGAATATATATTTTGACCCTTCTATTCTGGATCCCATAATTATGGGACGAAGGCAGTGTTATTACTTATAGCTTTTTCACTCTTATTAATGAAACATGCTTGATTTTGTCATTTTTTTTAAAGTTTATTTCCTATTAAGACTAGTATCCCGGTCTGCATCACGCTTGTTGTCTTTGTGTTAACCTTATTAGAAAGTTGCAAATTGACGAACTTTTTAAGTAGTCTCTAGATTTGTGAGTGAATATCGTCTATGCATTTATCACGACATACAAGGTTTCTAAGAGTAAATTTTCTAAGTAGAGCCTGATATACGTTAGTTTATATATACAAGTAGAGCCTGATATACGTTAGTTTATATATACAAGTCGAGCCTGATAAGATATGCTTATATACACCAATGAGTATTTAATGCCAAACTAAGAATTGAATTTATCAGAAGCTGTTGTTTGAAGATCATTTGAACTTCCCAAGTCCTCAAAATACTGCAAGTCGCAAGACTGCAAAAATTCAAACTTTGTTGCATTATTTGTGCCCTGCAATTCTTTTCAGACCTATATGATTATTGATAGGAAGTTAAGATATGGATACAAACTGTTGAGTAGGCGCTTTATTTCAATTGTTTTAGAACTGCTTTAAGGCAGCTACACACGAAATTACATGTACATAATTGATTCAAATGGCCTGCTCTTTATTTCATTTTTAAGAGGATCAGTGACAGGTCACATGGATATACCAAAAGGAGACAAGCTTGTCCTGAGGGGTTTAAAGTTCCATGGATATCATGGGGTGAAGCCAGAAGAGACGAAGCTGGGGCAGAAGTTCCTGGTGGATGTTGATGCTTGGATGGATCTTCGGCCAGCTGGTAAATCTGACTGCTTGTCAGATACTCTAAGTTACACAGATATATACAAGTGAGTGATGATTGCAATTGTGCTTCATTTTTTACTAACCGGGGGTTTTACAATTAAGGCTCTATCGCTCACTTTATCGATTGAAAATTCATTGTTTTGTTCCTAAAATGGGAAGTGTTATCTATAGATAGAAAGATATGATGATTCAGCAGTCTCCCTGTGGGTAAATTGAATTAAACAAATAGAAACAAACATATGAAAATTTAATTTTTGACAATTTTTTATCATTAACAAACTCTCATAGTAAGAATGTATTTCATTTAAAGTAGCATCCGTTGTTGCCGTGACGCAATTCCTTGTTGCTAAGTAACTGTAGAAAATTCAGTCATACGTTGTCTTTGGGAAATTGTTCTTGTCATTATGCTAGAAGATTTTTGTTTTTTCCTTTGGAGCCATTTAGTGTATATCATGTCACTTGATAGCTTTATAAAAAGAATCATGTCACTTGATGGATATCCGCAACATAAAGGAAAAGAAATGGTAGAACCCATAAATTCTCTGGGAAGGGGAGAGGAGAAGGGTCAGCGGGCAATAGATATATCCACACCTTTGTATTGGTATTTTGAAGTCACAGCAGGAACCCGTACCTAATCCTGTTTGTTTAGTCCAAACTGGGACTTCTCCCCTATTTGTTCTTTATCGTCAAAGCTCTCGTTTTCTAGGCTAGATGAAATATTATTGTGTAGAATAGTTCATCAAAATAGGAAGAAAAAAAAACAATTCTTCTTGAAGCAATCTTTTTCAGTTTGGGATTACGTTGATCTACTACCGGGAAGGAAATATGATGAGTGCGACATGGGGATTTACTGTATCTACAACAACAACAACAACAACATACTCAGTAATATCCCATACTGTGGGGTCTGGGGAGGGTAGTGTGTATGCAGACCTTACCCCCCCTACCTTGTGAGTTGTGAGGATAGAGAGATTGTTTCCAATAGAAGGGGATTTACTGTATCTATTTGTTGGAATTCTACTTGACGTATCCTCTAGTGTTTTAGATGAAGTAGTCGTGTTTTATTTCATTTTTGTTCCTTATAGATATGTAAGAAGCAAGTAACATTAATTACTTTTTTGACCGCTAGGAGAAAGGGTTGAATCTCTATCATACTATGCAAACCTGATAAAGTTCAGGTCTTACTTGGCATAAGCTGTAGAACTATTTTTGGTTTTGGGACTTTTCCGAGGTGTCATGTATTTTCTTGGGAGAAGATGGTGAAGATAAAAAGAAAGTGACATTTTCCCTTTGTTTCCTTCACACCTTGCTAGAATGCAACTTTCTTCTGGTAGACGGTAATTTGAGAGGGGCATTGTCCAGATTGAGGAGGAAAGAGGGTTAAGTATCCTGTGGTCGGCTTTGGTTAACATCACTGATGATTACATGTAGCTATCTGGTAGTCTTTTGTTGGTTCATAATGGTTTGTCATAGCGTCAGGGCATCGAGAGAAGTTGGACACTACTTCTTTACCCTTCTTAACAAGCTTGATGACCTTTTGGCACTCTTCTACGTTCTGCAGTGTATGACTTGCAATCGAGCTTCAAATAATATGTGGGAACCCCATTTGAAAAAATGAACTTATTTAGAAGGAACCAAAATGCTAAGAATTTCCCTGCTCTAGTTATCTAGCTTCGTTAGCCAAGGCGAAAACCACCTTCCCTTTGGCTATGTAATGTATGCTGCTGACGGAAGTGATGTTGACTTGATCTAGTACTCTAGGTTTGCTTAGCTAAGACAGGCTGCTTTAAGACTAAGATATGTAGACTTGAGAAATAACCACCAAACTTAACTGACACAAGAACTGAATCGAACATCAGATGATTTTCTCACTGAATTTTCTCTGTTGATCGTTATGGTTATTTTGGCATGATATTGCCTTGATATCATTTTCATCTGAGAATTGGCAGAATAGTGAAAGAGATTGTGGAGGGTCCACCTAGAAAACTTCTAGAGAAGGTGGCTGAGCTCATAGCATCTATAACGCTCGACAAGTATCCACAGGTATCTGCTGTTCGTGTTCAAGTTGGGAAGCCGCATGTGGCTGTTCAAGGATCTGTTGACTACTTAGGTGTCGAGATCATCAGACACAGAGGTCTTGATGGTTAAAACCCCGTCTTATTGCTTGTATTAATTTTTGTAATTCTAAATCCTGTTGTTCAATAACCGTTGTTGAAAGCTAGTTCCTTTTCATGTTTAGTGTTTAGAATCTTTTCCATCTGCATTTGCTCTTGTTATTAAAAACTATCTGGATTTCTGCTTCAGTAGAGGCCTGCAATTTCACCACAAAGCGTTGTTGGGTACTTGAATTTGGTTCTCTTATATATGGTTACTTCATCACATGAGCACCCAAGAGTGGCCGTTTCCTGTCTGTTAGGTGACTTCTTCTCATCTGCATCAGTCTTGGTAGGTAGAATTACCTTGTACCTGTGCTAGTGAGAGTATGAGCACTCTCGCGGTACAGTGCTATACTCCATGCATTTTTGGTCCCAGGGAAACGATCACAATGTCAAGGCATTTGTGCGTTTAGCAAAACTGCTTTTGACTCGTTAAAATGATAACATATCAGAGAGCAGAATTTTGTTCAACAGTGAGTTTATACATATCAAAGCCTTCATATTCAAATTAAGAGTGCATCACCATCTCTATAACTATAGTTTAACACAAAATAGCAGTTAAACATAAAACTATTCGATCACAATGGCAATAACTTTCAAGAATTAGAACAAGCAAAAGCAAGTGTTGTTACCAAATAAACTAAGAAGAGAATGAATTTGTATGTTTATTCGTGGTTCCTTCATATTTCTTTTCATTCAAAGCACCCATAGGAGGAAGTAAGTTGTAACATATTATTTTACACAATTATAAGAAAAGAGTTTGTATAACTGTAGTTTATTTGATTTTAAATTTCTGAATATTAGGAGTTTCTACGTAGTTCAAATAAGAAAAAAGTATAATGATAGAAAATTTTAATTGATTTCAAAGATCTATATATTAAGAAAATAATTAAATTATAATTTTGGTCAATAATATTTCGTTAAGATTTTTATGCTTTTAATATAACTAGTCTTAGTGTACGCGCGTTGCGCATGTTTTTTCATCTCAATGAGTAATTTTTTTGTAAGAAACTTACAGATTTAAAAAATAAATTGCGTTTGAGTGATAAAATAAAGTGTAAGCTTATGAAATTGTTGAATATTGATCATATATAGCTAACACAATAAAAGAAAAAAATGTGTTCATGAAAGTCCTCAATCATTTTATGTTTAATTTCACAAATTATCATACTTTCTTTTTTGGTTTCGGTAAAAACAAATAGCCCTTGAAGATTTAAAAAACAATTCTGATTTTTTTTCCAAAAGCTATTCTCAAGTTCATGCGAGAAGACACAAACATGGTATAGACTTTTATTATGATTCTTTAAAAATTTGTCAAATAACATATATTAAAAAAATTAAATCATACGTCTTCTCAATTTATCTCCATTCAAATGTTTGAACGTTACCCATTTAGTGAAGTTTTAGTTGTTGAAACAAAAAAAATATATAATAGGAGTACCTAACTTTGTCTAAACATATGTGGGCAAAGTAAGTATTGTTAAAACATGAAAATTTTATAGAAAGAATAAATTACTATTAACAAATTATTGAATTCACTTAATTTAGATATTTTTTTTATATAAATTATTTTTAATTCCTAAATATTTGAACTTCCTACATAGTTCAAATAAGAAAAGATTCAATAAATAAAATTCTAATAGATTTTAAGATCTTAAATATTAGTAAAATATGTTTATTAAAATTTTATTCAGTATAAGATTTATTTTTAACGGATAAAAGGTCAATTAACATTTCGTATAGAGGTTTCGTACTTTATAATATAAATTTAGGCTTGTACGGTTTAATATGATTGAATATGATATCAAATAATTATTTTGGGTACTTAATTGAACATGGATTAATTATTTTGTATGATTAATATAAGAATTTTTAAATATAAATTCAATTAGTTTACGTTGAAATAATTTTAATTTAAACATTATTGTACTATAATTTTAATGGAATATGTGACTTTATGTCTCCATATTTCAATTTTGCAATTAGAAATTGTGATGACCCAAAATGTCATCTTTAAATTTAATAATTAATTCTGTATTTTAAGACCTCGAAAAGTACTATTTATCATTCCTCGACTTGCATGCGCAATCCGTAAAATTTTTCGGAAAGTTTTTATGTGAAAAATGGATTAAAATGTGAAATAGAGCTTTAAAACTCAACTGAGTTGCCTTTGGTCAACATTTTGAGCAAACAGACTCGGATCAGTATTTTGACAGTTTTGGTAGGTCCGCATCGTGATTTGGGACTTGGGTATATGCCCGGAATCAAATTCCGAAGTCCCTAGCCCGAGATATGGAATTTTGATGAAAATTTAAAAGTTTGAAAGCTTAATAATTTTTAAGAAGTTACTAATGTTGGATTTATTGACACCGGATTCATATTTTAATTCCGAAGCCCGGTATAGGTTCACTATAATATTTATGACTTGTCTGTCAAATTTGGTGAGAAACGGAGTTGATTTGACGTGATTCGGACGTCCGGTTGTGAAAATCTAAGTTTTAAAGTTTTCTTAAACATTTCATTCGATTTGGGGTTCAATTCGTAGTTCTAGGTGTTATTTTGGTGATTTGATCATGCGAGTAAGTTCGTATAATATTTTAGGACTTGAGTGCATGTTTGGTTTGGAGCCCCGAGGGCTCGAGTGAGTTTTCGGATGCTCAACGGGCCATTTTGGACTAAAGGAAGATGCCAGATTTCTGGTGTTTTGTTGCAGAATTTTTACTCATCGCGATCACGTGAGGTCGTTCGCGATCGCGTAAGGCAATCTGAGAGGCCATCCATAGTTGTTCTTCGCGTTCGCGAATTTGAGGACGCGATCGCGTAGGAGTGTGAAGTTGTGCTTCACGAACGCATGGCCAAGGTCGCGTTCGCGTAGAGTTAAAGAGGCTAAAGCTGAGCCACGCGCTTTACTCATCGCGATCGCGTGAGGTCGTTCGCGATCGAGTAAGTCAGTGAGTCAAAGCATTCGCATGGTGTTTTACGTGTTCGCGTAGAGCAAAAAGTTGGGCAGCCAAAAATGTGCTTCGCGATCGCGAAGCATTGTACGCGATCGCATAAGGTAAAAATCTAAGAAACAGAACTTAAGTTCTGGAAAATGGGATTCGTCCCATTTTCAACCATTTTCCATTTTTGAGCTCGGGTAAGGCGATTCTTGGGCGATTTTTAAGGAAAAACATTGGGGTAAGTGTTTCTTATCCTATATTGATTATATTTCATGATTCCATACTCATTTACATCATGAATCCGTGAATTTATGGAAGAAAAATCAGATTTTTATAAAATCTTCCAAAAACGAAAATTTAAGATTTGAAGGTCCATTTGACACCGAAATTGGATAATTTTTGTATGGTTGAACTCGTAGCGGAAGGGGTGTTCGGATTTCGCTAGTTTTTCCGGGATTTGAGATGTGCGCCCCACTGTCGAATATTTAAATGAATTTCTAATTTTATCAGAAAAATTAGTAAATTCATATGGAATTAATTCCTATGATTCGTATTGAGTATATCGAATTGTTTGTGAATAGATTTGACGCTTTTGGAAACAAATTTAAAAGGAAAAGCTATGGTCGAATAATTTATTAGAATTTTCAAAGCGAGGTAAGTGTCGTGGTTAACTTTGACTTGAGGGAATAGAACCCTTAAATTATTTGTTATGTGAAATGCATGTGAACGACGTATAGGCGAGGTGACGAGTGTCTATACGTCGTCAAATTAATTGTTTGCATAATTATTTGAAAATCATAAATTGTTCTAAGACACGAATTAATTGTTATAATAATTGCTTCTCTCCTATTCTTTACCAAATATTAATTCTTGAATTCTTGCAATAATTTTTACATGCTATTTGATTTATGTGTCTTAATTGTTATTTGACATTTAGCATACCAAATATTAAACTGCCTATTTTCTTCACGATTTTTATAATTAATTGCTAATTGTCATTATTTGTTCATAAATAAATTATAATTATTGTGTGCCTTGATTCTTAATAGTTTCTCATTGGACGTGGTATTTATTGGAGTAATGTTTATTACATTTTTGAGTTGTAAAAGTTATATTGGGGGAATGGGTTGCACACCGCAACGGAAATGAAAGTAAAAGTCTATATTGGGGGATCGGATTGCACACCGCAACAAACTTATTTAAAAGTCTATATTGGGGGATCGGATTGCACGCCGCAACAGATTTATTTAAAAGTCTATATATATACTTGATTAAAATAAATATATTGGAGGATTGAAAATGAATATATTGTGGGAGCGGTTTGCACGCTGCAACGGAAATTGGTTGAAATAATAATTGGTTATGACTGCTGAGTTGGCTTCAACTATTATAAATGAGTTACATGATTTATTTTTATTATTTGTTGTTGTTGTTACTAATATTGCGTACAGGTTAATGTAAGTGACATGCCTTAGCCTCGTTACTAATTCGTCGATGTTAGGCTTAGCGCTTACCAATACATAAGGTCGGTTATACTGATACTACACTCTGCACTTCTTGTGCAGATTTTAGAGTTGGTCCCAGTGGCGTACCATAGACTTACTCGGATTTCAACTACCAGAGGAGACTTGAGGTAATACTGCACGGCGTCCGCAGTTCTGCAGTCCCCGTCTACTTTACTTTAGCTGTGTGTTTGTTTTCAGACAATTTTATTTTATTCAGACCTTTATTTGTATTATTCTAGAAGCTCGTGCACTTGTGACACCAAATTCTGGGATGGTATTTAGACTCCGTTATTTTTATGAATTATTCACTACATTTTAGACTTTACTTCCTCATTTGTTTTTTTGTTATTAATAAATTTAAAAATTATTTTAAAATAGATTATATTATTCTAGTGTTGGCTTGCCTAGCAAGTGAAATGTTAGGCGCCATCACGGTCCCGAAGATGGAAATTTCGGATCGTGACAGAAATCAATTGAATTTACCATATAAGTTCATTTTTATATTGGTTTTACGTATTGCACAAAGGTTTTATTTTCAAATAGTACGATATATAAGGTAATACTCATTGATTTTAAATTCCTAAATATTAGGACTTCTTATATTTAATATATAATTTTTTATTGATTTCAAAGTCCTAAATATTAGAAAAGTAACTTAAATTATAATTTTGTCTATTGTAAAAGTTATTTTTAAAGGGTA